GCTATTTCAGTCTTTCTACCTTTCTAATTACTTCTCTCTCTGTTTTTCTCTCTGTCTCTATTTTCTCTTCACTTTAAAAAAACGCGTGGAGCCAAGAAGTCCGGTGTGCTGTCTTGTTTTTTCTCAACGTATATTTTACATATCTTCTAATCTCTTTTTCACTCTTTCTCATTACATTTCACTTTTTTCTTTCTCCTTCTTTTTCTTCTATTATTAAAAAAACATTTCATAATAATGGTGTGGAGAGGATGGCTAAAGGGGGAGAAGGGAGGCCATCGAAAAAAAAAAAGACAAAAAAGGCTCCCTTTCACCATTGTTAATATGTATAAGTAATATAGTTCAATATTATTTTTTAAATATATTTTTCCAATAATGTGCTTATGAGACAAGATAAGATAGAACTTTATTGATCCCACAGTGGGGAAATTTGAACATTACAGCAGCTCAAAACTGTGGAGTTGCAGTAACAGGCTGCCTGCCGTGGCGCCAATAGAAAGAAAGAAAAACTGAAAAATCACACAGAAAATGAGGATGAGGAAAAAAGCAAAAACGTCATGTTATATCAACACTGTGACACACTGTGGTGTTTATGAATAAAAAACCTCTGCATAGAGCAAGTTTATTAGCCAGAGGAGTAAGTGAGTTTAAGGAGGCCCAAAGAATCCAGTCCCCCAAAACCAGCGCAGCTTCAGTTCAGAAATATTGATGGAAACTGTTTATTTCTGCAGCTTTCAGCCTGCTCTGGAAAAGCATACCATACCATACCAACTTTATTTATAAAGCACTTTAAAACAACCACAGCTGATACAAAGTGCTGTACATTAAAACAACAACATAATAAAAAAAGTGATTAAAAACGGTTTAAAAACAAAAACCTACAATTTAAAACTAAATCCCGCTGGTGTTGAAAGCCAAGTAAAATAGATGGGTTTTAAGACGAGCTTTAAAAGCTTTAAAAGCAGATTAGATGGGCGAGAGGAGGGGTGAAGGTGTGGGGCAGTGCCTTTGTCGACACATCCAGCCAGGAAGAATTTAGTCAACAGATCCAAGGCCGTTGTCGGGGAGATCCAGATTCTTTAATCAGTTGTTTGGGAACAGAGAGCCAAGCAGACGAAACAATTTTCCATCTGCTTTGGAGTTTCTGCTGGTGTGTCTCAAGGTTGGCAATCCCAATCAGGCAAAATAGTGTGGACAAAATTCTGCCGAGCCGATCTACCAGCTTCCTCCCAGATCAATTCCATCTGACCAGCAAAGTCCAGGGACCACAGCTGGCCCGCGACCCTCAATAGAACCACTTGCAGACCGAATCCAGCTTTGCTCAAGGCACAGTGTCCGAGTTCTGATAGTATACGGCCACCCATCGAGTTGGTCAGTCAGCCAGGAGATGAAAAGCCACCGACGCTGATTTGTAGAACACCAGGAGACCACCAAACCAAACTGTAGAATCCAGTGACCAGAGTCCAGACATAAATCCAGAACAGAGAAGAACAAAGGTCCCACATTTGATATGTCCTCCCATGGAAGAAGAAAAAGTCTTGTTAAAGAATTGTATTAAGAGACCAGCTAACCAAATCCATAAAAAAATCCATGATTTCTTATTTTGGATGAAAAATGTAGAGAGGCTCCAAGCAGGAAAGCAGGGAAAGATAAGGAAGGGCAGGAGAGACGGAAAAAGCTTCTTACTCTTCTGAGCAGAAACAAAAAAAATAGAAAAAGAAAAAGGAAAAAATACCCTAAACTTAGTAATATGTACACAAACAGATTTGGCTCACTATTTGGCGAGAAACTGGACAGTTTTATCTCTTTCCTGTCCTTAATTAATCCATAAAAAACACTTATTAATGATTAATAACGTGTTTACAGATGAATCAATAACCTATCTATAAATTATTCATGAGCCATCTATAAGGGAGCCTTATTGTAAAGTGGAACCAAATATTCTTATTTTGCTTCATCTGACAGAAAAACAAGAATCTTTTGGATTCAGCTGATTTTCTGTTGAAGTAAAACTCAAAAAGTGCATCTTTGTCTTGTCTTCAGCTGCGTTCCAGCAGCGTGAAATGTCAGCCGGACCCCTCGTGTTCCTGACAGGACCCTTCATGTGACCCGTTCAGTGTTTCAGCACCGAGCAGAAAAAAGGTTTTGCTGTTTGTCAGTGTCTATCACACACACACACACACACACACACACACACACACACACACACACACACACACACACACACNCACACACACACACACACACACACACACACACACACACACACACACCTGCATCAGGTATTCAGAACCAGTCAGTCCATAATCACACAGATGGAGCAGAGACCCCCCTGAACCCTGCAGACCCACTCCCTGACAGCTCCCCCCACCCTGACAGGATAAAAATAGTAAACCTGCCAATTAGATTCTGCTCTGAACCGAATCTGCAGCAGGACCAGAGGCTTCACGTAAAATAAACTTTACTCCCTGAAGGACAAATCACACAGAGAGAAGGTCCTGTTCTGAGCTCAAACACTTCCTGGTTCAGCTTTTTATCAAAGCTAAAGAAAGATTTTTAGATTCAAGCTCATTTTAAACCCAACATTCTGATTAAAAACCTCCATAAAACAAAGTCAGAGAAACAACACTGAGCAGAATGACATCTGTAAAGAGACTAAAACTTATGAAAGGTGAAAACAAGCAAAACAGTAGCTAAAGGCTAAATGCTAAAAGCAACAAAACAGATGCTAAATTGGATTAAACTAGCCACTAAAACTAAAATTAGCTAAACAATACAAAAAAGGCTAAATGCTATAAAGCAACTACACAGGTGCTAAAATGGATTAAATTTGCTGCTAAGAAAAAAATTGGAAACCATTAGCTAAAAGCTAAATGCTAAAAGCAACAACACAGAAGCTAGAATGGATTAAATTATCAGCTAAAGCTAAAATTTGCAAAACAATAGCTTAAAGCTAAATGCTAAAACAACAACGCAGATGCTAAAATGGATAAAATTAGCTGCTAAGAAAAAAATTTGCAAAACAGTAGCTAAAAGCTAAATGCTAAAAGCAACAAAACAGATGCTAAATTGGATTAAACTTGCCACTAAAGCTAAAATTAGCAAAACAATACATAAAGGCTAAATGCTAAAAAGCAACAACATTGGTGCTAAAATGGATTAAATTAGCTGCTAAGAAAAAACTGCAAAAGATTAGCTACAAGCTAAATGCTAAGAACAACAACACAGAAGCTAAAATTGATTAAATTATCAGCTAAAGCTAAAATTTGCAAAATAATAGCTTAAAGCTAAATGCTAAAAACAACACAGGTGCTAAATTGGCATAAACTAGCCACTAAAGCTAAAATTAGCAAAACAATACATAAAGGCTAAATGCTAAACGCAACAACATAGGTGCTAAAATGGATTAAATTAGCTGCTAAGAAAAAACTGCAAAACATTAGCTAAAAGCTAAATGCTAAGAGCAAAAACATAGAAGCTAAAATTGATTAAATTATCAACTAAAGCTAAAATTTGCAAAACAATAGCTTAAAGCTAAATACTAAAAACAACAACACAGATGCTAAACTGGCATAAACTAGCCACTAAAGCTAAAATTAGCAAAACAATACATAAAGGCTTAATGCTAAAAAGCAACAACATAGGTGCTAAAATGGATTAAATTATCAGCTAAAACTAAAATGTGAAAAACAGTAGCTTAAAGCTAAATGCAAAAAACAACACAAATGCTAAATTGGATTAAACTAGTCACTAAAGCTAAAATTTGCAAAACAATACCGAAAGGCTAAAAATCAACAACATAGGTGCTAAAATGGATTAAATTAGCTGCTAAGAAAACAACTGCAGAACATTAGCTTAAAGCTAAATGCTAAAAGCAACAACACAGATGCTAAGATGGATTAAATTATCAACTAAAGCTAAAATTTGCAAAACAATAGCTTAAAGCTAAATGCTAAAAACAACAGCACTGATGTTAAATTGGAGTAAACTAGCCACTAAAGCTAAAATTAGCAAAACAATACATAAAGGCTAAATGCTAAAAAGCAAAAACATAGGTGCTAAAATGGATTAAATGAGCTGCTAAGAAAAAACTACAAAACATTAGCTAAAAGCTAAATGCTAAAAGCAACAACACCGAAGCTAAAATTGATTAAATTATCAGCTAAAGTTAAAATTTGCAAAACGATACCTTAAAGTTGAATGCTAAAAGCATCGACACAAACGCTGAAATGAATTAAATTAGCCACTAAACTAAAATTTGCAAAACAGTAGCTTAAAGCTAAAGGCTAAAAGTGACAAAACAGATCATCTACAGATTTCTTTGTAAGTTAGAACTGTGCAGAAGTTCTGGATCTTTAAGAATCAACTCGGACTCAATCTGGATCTGGATGAGTTCTGAGATGTATTCACTGACCTGATGAAGAAGGCGGCTGCAGCCGACGGAGCCGGGCTGGTTTGGGTGGAGATGCTCTGAGCCGCTGCTTTAACCGGGACGTCCTGGGTGGTGGCGCTTCTCGTGGTCACATGACCTGGACCTGAAGTCAGACCCTGACAGAGAAAAAAAAAACACGATTTGTTTACTGCAGGTTAAAACACGGTGAACAACGGTCAGTTTAACACAGATAATACTTCTGATCCTCTACAGCATCAGGGTCTTCACATTATTTCACTGAGGTCATGTCTCTGCAGCAGGAAAACATGGCCGCCCCTGGAGGTTCATTAACCCCATTAGCAGCAGGAACAGGAAGCTCTGGACCAAGAGGTCGTTAACTAATTGTTATTCTGCTCGTTGGCAGCTAAACTTCTGTTTAATCACAACATGGCTGCTGAGTCACAAACTGGATCTTGTAGTGGCTGATGGGAAATGGAACATCCTGCTGAGATGTTTAGGTTCAGACTGAACAGATGTTTACAACATTCGATCCATCTTTCAGTAAAATAAACACTGACGGAGCTGAATCCTGGTCCTCAGAGTTCTGAACCCTCCTGAGGTGGTTTCTTCAGCTCGGACCTCCCATTCTGGGTTTTAGTCTCACATCTGTGTCCCCCCCGGTTCTGCTGGATCATTGTGGTAACAGGAAGCAGCCCGGTTCATCATTCAGCTGTTTGACTCGAGTCCTCTCAGCCAGCTAACAGGATTACACAGAGAGCCGGCGGCGAGCCGAGCCCGCTGCCAGAACCCGAGACCTGAGCTGAGGAAAATCACACAAACAGAACCAGACCTGCAGCAGAGATTACCTTTCATTTGTGTTCGATTATTTCACACTTTATTGGTTTTATTCAGCTGAAATTTCCAAGAAAAAAAATCAGTTAAATTACAAACTGAAAAGATCAATAAATAATTATTGTAAATTGTAACTGTTTTATTTCAATAAAACGACACTAACTTAAAATGCTATATTTCAGTAAAATGTACAATTAGAGTAATTTACTGTACATTAAGAAAAACTCTGTCAACTTCATCCATCTGTTAGCAAAATATCTAATGACCCAATGAAGATCAACATGCTTGAAGTGCTTGTATGTTGTTGGTTCTAATCTTTTATTGGGAAACTGATTGCCCACAATTAGGTGTACTTTAGTGATTTTGTCTGATTTGTAAAATAAACGATAGCATTTATTTATGGATCAAATCAAAATTCCCTGACTGAGAGTCACTTTTGTGTGTCCATTCATTTTGCACTGGAAGAATATTTTACCCAAAATAAAAGAGATTCTTGCTAAAATATATTCCTTATAACCTTGTAATAAGAGGTGTAGGTGTACTCCTACACTTTATTTAAACTTTCAGACTCAGTTTGTCTATAACTGACCAACTTTTAGAGTCAACCCAATTCAAGATGGCCGCCGCATGTAATCTATATTTAATGCTTATACAGCGGGTAAAATTGGTATTGAACACGTCACCATTTTTCTCAGTAAATATATTACTAGATGTGCTAATGACATGAAATTTTCACCAGATGTTGGTAACAACCCAAGTGATCCATACATACAAAGAAATCAAACCATAAATG